TCTTCCCTCCTCTAGTTTTTCAACCATTCTTTTGGTTTTAACATGTTTCTATCTCAAACTGATAGCTAAAAACCAGGCATACATTTCAAGTGCCTATAAAAATATCAGCACCAATCCTTGTCTTTTTTGCCACTCACAGTCCCTAACACATTTCCTTTCACATCACCTCTGTCAGATGCATGATGGTTGTTCAATGTACTCTCATAAGAGAACTTACTAACTACTGGTATGCATTCTCAATACATCACATCACATCAACTGTGCTTTCACAAATACAGAGAACAAAGCTTGGAGGCAAGTACCTCCTTCGCTTGGGGAATCAGGTATGTATCAAAATTAATCTTGGCTTGGGATTTAGCTCAGTGGCACAGTGCCTGCCTGGCCAGAGCAAAGTCCTGAATTTAATTCCTAACTGGGGGGGGGTAATTTTGGGGGAGTATTGGGGATTGGACTTGGGACCTTGTGCTTGCAAGGCAGGCAGCACCACCAATAAGCTAAATCCCTGGCCCAAGATAAGATTTTTTATTTGTCTGCTTTTTAAAAATTTTCTGGAGAAAATATCCTGAAATGTGTTCCATTATTACTTTCCATCTCAATAGCTACTCATGTTGGGAAATCCTACCTTCCTTAACATCAAATGATCTTTCTGAGGTTCAGAACCATTTCTCCAGACTCATTCTCCATGAAAGTAAAAATGACGATAACCTCAAGTAATGGTTTCCTTCAGCTGTTCTTTTCCAAATGTTTAAAGTCTTACGTTTCTCATTAGCAGTGAGAGTTAAGAAATGAGTTTTTGGGCCGGGGATTTAGCTCAGTGGTTCTGCCGCCGGCTTTGCAAGTGCAAGGTCCTGAGTTTGAACCCAGGTACAGGGGTAAAAAAAAAAAAAAAAAAAAAGAATTGAGTTTTTAGGCCGGGGATGTAGCTCAGCGGCAACTGCCTGCCTGGCATCCAAGGTCCTGAGTTTGATTCCAGAGGGGGTGGAATGAAGCCTTCTGGCTGGATGTGGTGGTGCACACCTGTAATCTCAGCACTTGGGAGGCTGAGGCAGGAGTACTGCCAAGAGTTGGTGGCCAGTCTGGACTACATAGTGAGTTCAGGGCCAGCCTGAACTATAAAGTAAGATCCTATCTTAAAAAAGAAAAATGAATTTTCCAGTAATGTTCTTACAAATGTCAACTATAATGAAAGAATTTGGTCCTTGATGGCAGTAATCAGAACACCTTGAAAGATGCAGTTATAAAAAAGCCTGTATATAATTGTCTAGATATACATTAGTTCATTTCCTAATTCCACTGCCTTGGCTTTCATAGGGACTCCAAATCTATTTCACACAGTACCATTTGAATGCTACAGTGCAGCTTCAGAGGAAATGGCTTCCAAATATATGTAGATTAAAAAAAAAAATCCAGACCAACATTACCAAAGCATTTTCTACAAGACAGCAGGTCTAAGAGAAAGTAATTGGTATAAAAAAAGAAAAAGAATCCCATTATCAAGCTTGGAGCTTGCTGAGTTAAGCAAAGTTTAGCAGGTTCCTCCACCCACAGGACTTTTGAGTTTTTAATACAATCTTAGTGTGGGGTTCCATGAAACATTGAGATGATACTTTGGAAAAAAATGCATGTGGCAAGAATGCGGCAAATGTCTACTAAACCCAATCCCGAAGTAAAGGTGACTACAAGGTCTCAAGCCTACACAAATTATCAATACTGGGACTTTGACAAAAATTGATCAAAAGGAAAGATATACATTTGGAGGAAGCTATGGTCTCTGATGAGGTCAGCAGAAGACAATGGGCTAGAACATGAGGAAGTACAAGGTTGGACACAGCGAGTTGAATACATAAGACACCTTGAGTAATAAACCTAGAAAAATCTGTAAGGGTAGGAATACTGCCTGACCAAGGCTGGCACAATCTACATGCAAACCATACTAGATACTGATGATATGATCGAGTTAGTACAGAACTTCCCAGTTTCCCCAAGAAAATTCTTTGAAAACGACAAACCAATAGGTCAGTTGTTACTTTTTAGATCATGGCCCTTTTTGAGAATGTAATGAATGCCATCTCTCCAGAAAAAACACTAGGACACATAAGATGAAGCCTATTAATTTCAGAGAAGCTCATAGGCCTCCTGAAGCCCAACCACAGAACTAAGTTGTCAACCTCTAAGGCTCCAGGTAGTATCTGCTGCAGAGTCTTCATGAGAGATAACACGCCTCTATGTCATAGGTCACTTCAGAGGCAGGTATGCTAGCTTTTCACTTTTTTTTTTAACACTGTATTTTCAACTACTTACAACAGTGCAGATGAAATGTATATTTGCACTGGAGTGAAAAAAAAATAACTTATCTGTTAAACTCAGTCATTTACTTAGCAGAAGGGCCCAGTATGGTAATAAGAGCTTCAAAACAAAACAGCTCTGAGAAGCCAAGTGATTTTACAAGGTTGCACAGCTAATAAATCCCAGATCACCCACATCCTGGTTCTGTGCTTTAAAATATGCCATCTTAAGTACATTAAAGATGTTACTGCAGTAGGTAGAACAGTTTTCAAAATAAAACTCCTTTAAACAACAGCCTTCCAAGAATTACTATAGATCTAACACACTCAAATTCAACGATTCCATCTTTAGCACCTAAAGACCAACAAATTAAAAAGCAAATCATGTTTTTTTAAGCAAAATGTACTCCTCTCTAACCAACACAATTTGTATAAATAGGAAAAAATCCAAAACAGCAAAAGCAATGTGAAAAATACGTATCTTTAGAGCATGAATGTGATTATACCAAAAAAAAAAAAAAAAAAAAAAAAAAAAAAAAAAAAAAAAAAAAAAAAAAAAAAAAAAAAAAAAAAAAAAAAAAAAAAAAAAAAAAAAAAAAAAAAAAAAAAAAAAAAAAAAAAAAAAAAAAAAAAAAAAAAAAAAAAAAAAAAACCAAACAAAAAAACAAATAGTTTAAGCTTTGGGTTATTTTTGCAGTCAAGGGGTTCTGATGCCAAGAGCTACATGGAGTTTCTCCACTCTGGGTCCCTGTTACTGTAGTCTGGCAAGAAGGGACCAAGCATCTATCATGGGATGTCCACTTGGCTGATTACATAAACAGTGAGGCCTGGCTGCACAGCAGGAGTCAAGAATTTCAACTACAACTTAAAAATCCACATTAGCTCAGAGTGTGGCTATGAATCAAACACTGAACTAACTAAATGTGTGCCTGTTTCTTTACTAGAAATTCAGCATTGTATTACCCGACCATGTACTGTTTGTGGAAAGCCAGTACTTTCTATTGGTTGAGAAAGCAATCTCCAAATTTTGGCTTTGCCACCTACCAATGTTGGTAAATTTCTTTAACCTCCCTGTGCCTCAGTTTCTTCAACTACAAAATGGAGTTAGTAACAGAGGGCTGTTGTTAGGCTTGAGTAGAAAAATCTTTAAAAATGCCTAGCAAATAATGAGCATTCTATAAATATTAGTTAATATTCAAGATTTTAAATGGATGAAAAGATTGATTTGTCATTGATCTACTGCACTTAGATGTCCCTAGAAAATTACAGCCCTATTTTTTTATTTTACTTTTTAATCAAATAATTGAGTTACCCACTGTGATTTTAAATATACTAAATACATGGGAAATCAGTCCCGTGAAGAACCTATTGTACAATCTGCCCCCAAAGACATACATTCACTAAGCTCTAGTTAACTTTTCATCTGACTATAACTGAACTCCACCAGTCATTAGACACTTGGATCCATCCACTACTATTTTCATGGTCGTCACCAAATTCCAAAACATTATTCTTACTAGGACTATCCTAGTGGGCTCGTAACTTCTCTTCCCCTCCAATCCACTCTTCATATTACAGTACTGTGAGCTTTCAGAGAGCCAAATCTAAGTTCAGGGGCCTCTTTGAAACCTCACGTTGCCTCCCCACTATCCCGAGAAGCCAAATCTCCTCACAAGAGCTAAGAGGCCTGCAAAATCTGGAGACATCTTCTTTGGTGCTCAGTTACCTTACTGATTTCTCTGGCCTCAGAAGGAAACTCCCTGCCTCTGGGGGGCATCACCCTCTTTCCCTGGGCCCTAGTAATGCCTAGTCATCTTTCAGATCTCTGCTAACAGGTGATGAGTCTCTGACCACTGCCCCCATATACACACAGTCCTCCTGCCTCTGCAACACAAAATACAACTCCAATAAAATAGTTGTTTACTCTTGTTTTTGCCCCCCCAACACAAACCCCACATGAAATATGAGACTATATCTACCTTTTACTGCTACAACCTGAATGCTTAGATGGCTGGTATGTATTTATCGTAGGTGTGCTGAAGACACCTGTTAAAAATGATGAGAATAGATGCGTGAGAGCGAAAAGCAAATCATTCACAAAACAAGATTCGTGTACAACAACAGCTGCACTTCATTAAATAGCTAAGTTACCTTTTGCATTTCACTGAACAGTAAAAACCTATTCCTTAAACCATGGGCAAAATAAAAGTTAAGACTAAACTTTCTGATGTAACAGTAAGTTTCTTTGTGCCTTCTTAGGTGTTAAGTGGAAGGAGTTCAACTTCAGTTACCAGTAAGAAGAGATGCAACTTAATCAAGACTGCTGCCACAGCTGGCACCATCCTCCTCCCTTGGCAGTCCCTGCGAGGCCAAGAGTTGAGCTGGCCAGGGAAGAGTGATTTGTCCTCCCACATTTAGAAGTGGTCCCTCTACAACAGGAATGCTGTCCTACTAATGGACTTTGCATTCTAGCCTTGTCAAACCAGAACCTTTCTTAAGTATTCAATTCGTTGTTGTTGTTGTTTTTTAACTGATTCTTATGTGTCACTGACAAAAAAATTTAATATGATATCACAGTTCAATTCGCTCGGGAGAAAACCAAGTTGCTCTTTTTTCCAAAAAAAAAAAAAAATGTTTAACGACGGTAGACCCTTTTTGCAAAAGAAAATTTTCATTACTTGGAAAAATAAAAAAGACACTGACAGGTGGGTGTTAAAAGGCTATTCAAGCTGAGGGAGGGGCTGTGCATGGAGGCTGCCCCGTGCAGTCAGCACCTCCAGGCCTCAGGGCCGCCAACCCCAGTCCTCCGCGAGAGGCACACAGGTTTGACAAAAACGCCAAGCCCCTGCCGTTGGGCTGCTGGCACTGACCCTGCCATTGCAACAAATGTCCAGCCCCTCCGCACGCTGACGAGCTCAGCGCCCGCTCCCGCGTAGCCCTCCCCTCCCTGGAAACGCAAGGAAGCCGGGAGGTGTCAAAAACCGCGTCCGGAACACGGCTCAGGTAAGGCGCCGGAGGTCTCGGGATCAAAGCGCCGGCCCTTGTCGGGTGCGGGGCAGCGCAGCAGGCGGCGGAGCGCGGAGTCAGG